TGGGAGGTTTGGATAATAAGGCTAAGGGGCACGTGTTGAATGGGAAAGGTAGAGACGTCATTAATAGCTGCCCATTTGCTGACTGCAGGGAGCATTCTGGGGGAAAAACTAATGTGTGATCACCTAATTAAGTGCTGTATCGTAATGCATATGAGCTACTGAAGATTGCAATTGCAACCTTATATCTGATTTTTCCTATCTTTTTTTAAATGTAATTGGAGATTCAGGATTGAAACAAATTATTGTAATCAGTCCTTTGCTACTATAGTTACTGAGTTATACAGTTGCTTTCATGAAATGAGTTTCATTTTAAATGCTGTTAGTATTTATGACCTGTGCTTCTGGTGGGAGGCCATTCCAGACTTCAAATTGCTCTTGTACTGGAGTACATGTTAGCATTCAATTCAAATATACTATAGCTGTCCAGGTTCTCTGTGGTTTGTGTTTTTTACCCTTCTTATTTGCTACCTTAAATCTTTTCCCTATGTTGTGTGAGCAGACAACAGCCCTGTTCCTTTGCTGAGCTGAGATCCTCTACCTCATTTCCTTTTATAAATAAGCTTGCTGAAGCTTTTGTTTCTCACGTATTGATAACCAGAATTGTGAAAGAGCACCACTATTTCACTGTCTGAATTGCAAATACTCATGGAGACAATAAACTGGTGTCTTATAGTCACTTGTGTTCAAGCAGTATACAGCTAAGTCTAAACCAGTATTTACTAAAAGCTTACCTTCCAGCAGAAGCATTTCCCATTAGTCCCTAAGTATCTTACCTGGTATTTTACATTTTTACTTGGTTTTGACATGCAGGGTCTCAGGCTCACCTAGTTGCCTCTCTACATCCCATTTCTATGCTGCACTGCAGGCACTGCCTCACTTTGTGACCAGCAGACTTCACTGGCACATTCCTAAGGTTTGTGCCAAGCTCCCAAGTGAGGTTATTAAACAAGATTTCTTTTCCTTTTTTCCAGAATGAGTGACCCTGCCACTAACCTCCTGCCATCCACTTATGATTCCCATTTTTCTGTCCCTTATTGCTGTCTGCCCATCAGTCAACTCTTTACCCATCTCGTAATTTCTGTGTGTGACTTGATAGCTTTCGATATTCCTTTACTATTAGGCTTTCAAAAAATGCAGTATATCAAGCTGCTAGTTCTCTGTGATACAAATAAATAAATAAGCACAAAGGGAATTAATGGAGATGGAAATCCTGAAAGGTATAAATAAACCTATGTACAGTAACTCAGTGTAGCTAAGAGCAGGTTGCTTCAGCCCTGCATTTTGGACTGATCTAGCTCCTGCTGCAGAGCTTGTCGTGCTCCAGGGATTGATTGAGCCTCTGTGCTGGGCTTCCGTAGCTCTTTTCATGTTCAAAGAGCTACTGACAGTATAATTTAGCAGCCAGAAAAATTCAACAGAAGTCCATCACCACAGGACGCTTGTCATTTTGGACATCCTTTTTTGTCAGCCTGATTTGAGCTTTGTCTATTTTGTCTTTGCTAAGTGATGCAGAGATGGGTGGCTTCATTTGAAGGCTTTAAAGATACTTTCAGGTTTTGAAAGCTGTACTCCTGAAATGCAGAGGATCCCATGAGAATTCAGCAGCGTTAGGAGCTGGAAGCTGGTAGGGTTTCCCTCCCCATGAGACCTTTAAACTCTCACAATGAATAGTTTTAATTTCCAGTGAGGTATAAAGAGTTAGCTTGTTGACAGTTTTCCTACCGAGTCCCTGAATAGGAAGCCTAGAGTGTGTGTGGGCTCTGAAGTATGGGAAAGCTCATAATGGGCCTCTGAGTAAATGGATAAAAATATTTCTTATTTTCCACACTCACTGTTCTGGTAAATCGGTCAGAACTGAAATATTTAATGCAAATTCCTCCTGAACTGGTGACTTCAGTGCAAAATCAAAGAGCAAGTTGGGGAGCGTGTGGGTGTCCTGGTGTTATTCCAGTAACTGAGAGATCTATAGTTTGCTTCCATGGGTTTTTGGATAGATGTTGGCTTGACTACTCATTTAAGATCTTAATGTTGAAGTCCAGACAGCCTAAGAGCTGTCTCTCTCCTGATGCCCATCACAGTCAGAGCAGGTCCTTTTGCGCAGGCAGGCTACTCCCAGAGACAGCAGGCCACTTAAATGAGAGCCAATTCTGTAGCTGATGACTTTTTTGCAAGTAGCATAGCATATTTGTTGCTATCTGAATGATATTTTGATTATTGTAAATGATTGATTTGGGGGGTTGAATATCTAACTGGTATATGTAGAAATAAAGGAGAGAGAGAGCCATCAGAAAGATAGATGGTGTTGGAGGCTTGAGGAGAGTCGTTCATCTGAAGCAGGTGAGTGTTGCTTGGAGTTTTAACACATCATAGAAGGATGGAGGAGTAAGTAGCTGATAGAGCCAGAAGGCTTCTAGTACGAAGTCAGGTGATGTTTGCATTCTTTGGTAGAAGATTTGAGCTCAGATTCTTCTTATTGTTTCCTTTCTGTCTTCCTTTTCTTTTTTTTTTTTTCTTTTTATCCCTGGAGTATAACCCCCATCAGAGCAGAAGCAAGGGTCCTCTGAAGGGAGACTGCTACATGAGGCAGGATAGAGAAGAGGTGAAATCCCTTCATGTGTGATCCTCGCTGCAGCTAAAGCAGAGGAGGTGCTTGAGGATAGAACAGCAGTTCAGTGAAAAACACTAACAAGAATTAGTTTGGACGAAATAATGTTTAAGAAAGTTTAAAAGGAGGCTTGAGTGCATGTGAGAAGGATGCATGACTATAAATAAAGTATATACGGATTGTAGCAAACCCTCTGTGAACAAAGCAGGAGTGGAAGGCAAAATAAAGTTTGGCTCTCAAGAGAAGCGTGACCAAGTTAAGTGTTGTTTCTCTTGATTTTATTATGTTGTGGCTCAATAAAGCACAGGTTGACCATAAAATCTACTTTCTCTTCTCAAAGAAAAAAGTAAAAACTACTTTGAGAGACAAAAAAACCCAAATTAAGAAAATCTGAAGTATATGGCCTCAGGGACTGTCCTCTGTTGACAGAGATGTTTTACTTTGACAGGTCAGATCTGGTCATTCTTAGACAGTTTGAGATTGAACCCTTATGTCCACATGAAATTTGTGCAACATGTTGGGTGGTAATTTTCATCGTTGCCCTTGAGTTGAAATAGTAAACAGTTTTTAACAGCCTTTCAAAACCCTGTGCTGCTTCTAGTGCTTGCTTTGACTTTTGCTGTAGAAGGTTTGGCTTGGGCTCAATTATAGGCTTTATACCTATGTTCTATCTAACTGTTTCAGTTGTTCTGAATTGTTTTATTCCCGCTTAACTCCTTTCCAGAATCTTGCTACAAAAGTCATTTTGACCTTGCTTGTTCATATTAGGAACCATCTGGTTTTGTTGCTTATTTTCTTAAGATAGCCCTGATCCATTGCTGAGCCTGCTGAGTGCTCCTGTAGTACATATATTAATTTGACCAATTTCCTATTTTGCTCCACCTCCTTTATGCTTTTGTGAGCTTCATGCTGTGTAGATTCTGGGAAGAAATGGGTATTACCAGGTAACAAGGAAAGTAGTACAGCAATGTTCTGCTCAAGTACATTAATGTAAAATACCTTTTACTGCTTTTCTCGGAAGTGTTACCTGCAGTTACTCCAGATAGAAGACCAGGAGTGATCTATGAGCAGTGAATAGCTCAACTATTTGCATATAAATAGTGTTTCTTTGTTTTATTATTTTTTTATGATACAATTTTCAAATAACAGCAGACAAACATGTCTTTTGTTTGGTTTGTGAATTTGGGTGATTTATCTTATTTCTCACACACACACCCTGCTGCTTGCTTTTATTTTTCCCTGTCTTGCATCACTTAGAGATTGCTATTCAGTGAAGTAAGGCAGAGGTTGGGGCAGGCCAGTGCGGACAACTGAGGACACTGTGCTAATTGTGTATGCACAAAGGGAACGGATGCACGGTTCAGAACAGGGCCATGCTGCTGCCTTTAAACACAGTCAGTCTAGAAAGCAGCAGTACAAGTCTTTGCCCTAAAAAACAGTCCTAGTCTGTACTAGAGTGCTTCTTTATAGTTTCTAATGCTTCTTTATAGCTACGGTTTCTTCTGGTTCCAGTAAGGCTTTGTGCCCAGCTGTGTCACTGGTCCAGTAGCTGGGAAACAGTAATTTTGTTGGTGTGATTGGGTAGGTGTTCAAGCTCTAACCTAATGATATCTGGGAAGTAAGCAGTGCTCTTCATTGTTGTCCCGTACCAACAAGAATATCAGATGCAATATTTGCAAGGCTTGTGTGTTAAATAGCATTGCAAAGAAATGTAATCTTGGAACTGCCCAGAGCTTTAAGGGCATGGTGAGGCTTTAGTTCTGAAATGCAAAGACATCACAGCTGATGATACCCAAGGATTTTTCTTTAAGCAAATGTCTTCTGTTTAGGCCATCCATCAGAACAATTTGAATTCTTTGAAATGGGGGGGCAAGGGAAAAGGATGAGCTGACATACTGTCCTAGCCACTTCTTTCTGAAACCTGGATTTGAGCAAACCTCAAAAGATTCCCACAAAAAATGAGTTTGCGCTCCAGTCCTTTCCATGGCTTTTCAGGTGTACCTTGCAGAACAGCAGCAGGTCTTGTCCTGCCTGTGGTGGGGGGTAAAAATGAACAGAATCCTGAAGTTCTTCAGGACATGTTGTATCATGTTTGATGGGATCAATCTGTGTAATGCCCTCATTTTACATACACCTTTTAAACTGGGAGAAGGTTTCGGGTGTGAAGGAATTCTTGTGCAGTTCTTCAGCCCCAAGAAGGTTAAGGGAAGCCTAGGAGAAAAGAAGGAAGCTGAGGTGGACTTTAGGCAAGTTGTTCAGCATTTTTATAGCTCCTATTAAAGTTATCGATAGTGTCCTGCTCTCCAGAGCATCCCTCAGAATATCTGTAGTTCATGAGCAAAGCTTCTTGTTCTTGTTCTCCCCAGTGAAAGAATATTTATTTGGTCTGTTTCAGAGCTGGAAAAGGAGATCACCAGGAGACCGAAGAAAGTCTGCATTGTAAAAGTGGTGGGAACAAGAAACCTGTGGAAAAACATCGTAGTATTGTGTGTGAACTCGTAAGTCCAGTCTCTGAATAGTTCTGTGGTTGGTGAACTGGAAGCAGTAGTGGAAAATGATGGGGGAGCTCCTCTGTTTCGTAGCGTGGGACCCTTTGCTAGTGTCTCTGATAAAGATCCTGGAAAAACACCAGCTGATGCAAGGAGTTCTTTTTTATGGTAAATGTGGAGGAACTGATCGATTGTTTTGGGCAGCAGCATCATGTGTCTTCTCAGGTGTCATGCTGCAAGCGCATTGCTATCACCGGTGGTCTCACATGGCCACATGCTGGTAAATGCTCACACATGTAGACATCTGCTGCTGCTGCCATCCTGGGTGGTGGGACTTTTGAAATCAGTAATGCCCCAGGGGTTCAAGTTTAAGTTGTTTACATCTGAAATAGCTGTGTTGCAGAGGAAGATGTTTCTTGCCAGTAAGTATGGTCTGCTCCCTTGTCTAAAAACTGTCCTTGGTAGGTCTTCAGAAGCAGATTACAAATCTTGTGCAGGGCACACAGGGAGAATATGTGTAATCTCACACAGAACAACATGATGCCTGTGTCCTGAGGCTTCGTCTTTGACATGCTTGCATAGGCAAAATCAGGCATCTGCCTGAGGGTTTTGCAGGTTACAGGCTCTGAGACCTTCTGTCCAGAACTGAGCACCTTGTAAAGAGGAAATAGAGGGGCTTCAAATTTAGCCTCTAACCAAACCAAACTTTCTGGGAGGGCAGTGGATTTTCTAATTGTTCAATCTTACAAAATGCCTATTTGAATACCTTTCATGACTATTTTTTTTTCAAGTGGGAGGTGGGGACAAGCCTGCAAATCCCCCATCCTCTGCTTCATTTAGAAGTACGTAGCTCTCTTACGGCTTTTTCTTCATCACTTCAGGGCCCTACTCCGCAGCCTTCACTCCTGTTTAGCAGGCTCATAGATCAGTCATAACCTCAAGGGGACAACCCTTGTGCTGGGCACATAGTCACCCAGGGGCACATGGTCTTCAGGGCTCAGTCTCCATCACTATTGGTTACAAAACCAACTCTGGTTTTATGATTTTTGTGTGTCTCTCCCACCTACCAGTGGGTGACTCCCTCTATTCTGAAACAGTGGTTTCCTCTTAGGCTGAGCTGGTAGATTTAGTAGCCAGCATTAACTGTGTTTGTGAAAAATGTTTATGTGGGGAAGCCTCCCCTTCTCCCTCACTCTTTTCGATTATGCACATTTGGAAATCCCGTAAGCCAGAACTAGGCAGCCCAACTTCTAGCAATAGCACACAGAGGCTGTTTGCCATCCAAGTAAAGCATGAAGCAGATGTGTGTTTCAGGAAGTAGCTTTTGTGTTTGTTTTTAGGGGATGGAAAAAAACCTATTTAATTTTAATTCTGTTATTCCTGTTAGATGGGGCTGTGGTACATTTTGGTAGTGTGGAACATGGAGAAGGTACCATTTACAGGGAATGATAAGACATCAAGGGAGATAAATGTATTTAGTTTTAAAAGCAACTGTTCTGAGCTGTTCAGCAAGTTAAGATAATAGTGTAATTTCTGGGGAAGCAGGCTGGAAAGCAAAGTCCAAATGATACATTAATTTGGTTTACAGGCCATGGCCTAAATAACAATTTCAGCAAGTGTGTTTACATGCACAGAAGAGAAAGAAAGAAGATAAACCCTGGTTAACTCTGCCCTCTTATGAATACTTTTTTGCTGTTTAATATTTCTTTTGTGTGAGGAAGCAGTTATAATCTAGATATCCAAAGCTACTTACATTCTTGTGTAACAGCAAGTATAGCTAGGTTTTTATCAGGGAGAAGGTGTTTTGTGTTGGGGATGTGTTTTTGAACTATAGCATGGATTCACAAGATCTTCACTGTTATGCACTCAGCAACTGTATATTCCCCCAACTGTTTCTATGCTTATATTAATATCCAGTTGACACTGACAGAGCTTCAAATTCCTGACCTTCAGGAGGATAGAGGTGTATCAGTGTAATGGACCTGCTGTTCATTTTTTGGAGACTGGATCTGTGCCTGCCTCTCTGTCAGGCACAATTAATTTGTGACATGAGGTTTGTCTGGTCTAGATGCTGGGGACAGGAGGTCCTTCCCAGCAGGGCATATCTGTGCTGCAGTAGGGGTGGTTAGGAGCACTAACTTCCCACTGCTGCAGTATTGCACCACTTCAGGGGTGGTGGTGGAGCTTCTCATCTGACTTAGGTGTCTCCAGCCGCATGCTCTTTCTTCCTTGTTTTTTGCCCTTTTTTTTTGAGAGGGGTAGGAGAAAGAGGAGTGAAATGGAGTGGCAAACTGCTGATCGCTGGCATCACAAAGAAACTTTTAATAGAAGGGGAGACACATGGCTGTGAAGGGTGGTGTAAATGTGTAGATTGAATTAGGGGTTATCCTTTCATAATTGTAAAATAATTGCAGCATGTGTGACTTAAAATAAGGAGTTTATAAGGGGTCTTCAGTTGTAACAGTTGGCCTGGGACATGAGATGTAATCTTCAGTACAACCAAATGCAGCAGGCAGGTCTTCTTCAAGACACAGCTGTATTGCACAGTGTTTTGCTGTTTAAGCACACAGGCTGCTTCATCGCAGCAGCTCTCTCTCTCTCTATGGCTGTCAGCAGATACACTGAGAACAGAGATGTCTTTGCAAGAGGGGAGTTCTCAAATACACAGGGAAAACCAATCACACACTAGGAGTCCTTGTAAAGATGCTCGTACCCCAGTCGTACCACAAGCAACATCTGAATGAATAAAGCCAGTAGATTGCAAATGTCTGGTTGAATAGAGATTTTTCTTTTTGCTTCTTTTGATCATTGCTTATGTTCATAGCAGCACCTAGAAGTCTGAGATTAGTCTTTTTGCACTAGGTGTTGTATTCCTCCACCAGAAGAAATTCTTCCTGCATTAACATATTCCTGCCTTGAATTCCATTGCAGTGTGTGGCTGCTTTCTCAACAATGATCTCCTCTTGCCCTCTCCTGTTGTTTCCCCTAGGCTGACCGGTTATGGCATACACCACTGTTTTGCAAAAAGCATGATGGGGCACGAAGCGAAGATGACAATTACCCACAACTTCTATGCGGACTACTACACCATGGCTGGGATTGCACTGGCATCCTGCCTGGCTATGTGCCCAGTGGTTGGGTTTCTGGGGAGAAGAGGAGGACTCCTGCTTTTCATGATCCTTACAGCCCTGGCATCACTCCTGCAGCTGGGCCTTCTCAACTGTGAGTTGGAGACAAGAGCTTTTCAGGACCACGTGATTTTGATGTGCAAATAATGGACCAGGAAATATTAACACTTCCTTTGCCTTTCTCAGACTTGACGTGCTGTACACGTGCTTAGTTTAAGAATTTGCTTGAAGGCATTGTGTTCTGGATGAGTCCCTGTGAAGCTCATTGAGCACTGGTGCTGCTTCTAGGGCTGTCAAAAACAAACAAACAAACAAGATGCTTTTAATTTTATTTTGATTAAATAGCCCCTGGTAGGTATTGGGAACAGAAAACTTTCCCTTTTGAGTCTACTTCTCACTTGAGTCTACTTCTCAAATGGCTGCTAAACTAAATGGCAGTTAAAGCAGTAGGTGCATGTCATCTGCCTGCTCTGAGCACCTTGCTACGTGCAAGTGATATAACAGCATAGAAATGTGCATCTGAAAGACCCTGCTTTTAACATGCTGTGTACATATAGTCCATGTGAACATATATACATGATTTTGTGAGTTGTCACAGCTTTTCAAATGGGTTTCTGCCAAAAATCAGGAGTGTCCCACCTCCTCCTTTGCAGGCCATGACCTTTCTCTGGCCCTTTTGAGCTGGTTCAGCTATTGAAACTGGTACAGAAGTGTTACCTTTCTTTTAATTTTATTTCCTTGTCTTAATTTTCTGTTGGTTGAGGAAGTTGAACTTGATGGATCAGAGAGGTGTTGAAGCAGAGGGAAGGTGGGATGTGCTTTGCCGCTCTCACAGTCACCAACCATTACACCTCGGTCCTATGAAACCTCACCCCAAGGAAAGGGGAAGAGGGTTGAGACATGCTTTGGACAAACTGGGTATGAGACAAACACCATAACATTGGTGGTTGCTGTTTTTCATTTCTAAGTTTAGAAATAATTAAGGGCTTTAATGAGAAAGAGGTTTTTGCAGCGAGGATGGAAAGATTTCATTCCCACATGCTGAAGGCAGCCCTGAGCCAGCAGGAGTTCTCCATATTTACAGACCGTGTTTCCTGAAAGCATTCACTAAGTTAACCTTAAGCGAACACTCTATTTGTGGCAGTATGGGAGGGAAACAGGGAACCTCTTTCATGACATGGAGGAAACTCCAAAATGGCATGATGGTTTTGCTCTCACATTAGCACAGATGTTTACATTCCCTTTGAGGACATGTTTGCCATGTCCATCAGTCCCAGCTGAGAGTGGGGCCCCACCTCATCCGCAGCCCACTGACAGACTGTGTCCACTGGCATGCAGATGCACACTGTGTGTGTGTGCGCGACCTCCCAGAACTCCACATTCTGTGGTGGTGTCCATCAGGATCTCTCTGCCCTCAATTGGTCTAATCTTTCTTTTTTTTTTAAGGATGTCAGATGTTTGTCAAGGCTTTTTGGGGTAATAAACATGCAGTTGTTCAGTGGGGAGAAGGTGTGCCAGACCCAATATGCCATGAAAATCTGGTTGCAGTTTTTCAACAACAAAAAAGGGGAGGTGGAGAGGAATATCTTGTAGGAGTCATTACAACCTTTTCTATGGTGGGTTTGGGTGGTTTTGTGAGCCAAGTTGCTAAAACTAAGAGCAGCCATTGGCTCTAGGTGTGTTCTGCTACGCTGACACCTAGACTTCTCTCAATGCTGTGCACCCATGAGCCTTCCTGACTCTGTCCTTGCCCCTTTGTTTGTGAGGAGGGAAATGCAGCCTTGAACTTCAGGGCAGCTCATCTTCCCCCACTCTAGACCATGCCCCTCCTTTCCCAGAAGACCTAGACGGTGTTTGGAGAGAAGCAATGACCCTGCTGATTATGAAATCTGCTACAGCCTCCCGCATGGTTTAGCTTAGCATAATTTGGGCGTAATTGGCAAACGAAATCAGAATTTGAGGAGGGTGAGAGAAGGAGAGGGATATTCTCCATCAGCAGCAGACCTTGAGGCTTGCCCTGTTCAGCCCTTCCTCCAGACCCCAGAATGGCACCAGAGCCTGGTGGGAGATCACCAGCAGAAATGTGCCCAGCTTGTGCTGCTGCCCTTCCCCTTACTGCCCAGTACTGCCATGTGCTCCATTGCAGTTCAGATGTGTGACAGCTGGTGGCTGGCATGACACATGGACCACCAGCTCTACATTTTGGCAAGGAGTAGGTCTCCCACCAGTGTGACAGTGCTGATGCCTAGCATTTTGCTCTCTAACTGAAGCCTCTGTTGGCCATTCCCTTGGGGCTACAGCAGGAGGGCAGTTTCTCTTCTCCCCCTTGTTAAAAACAAAAAGGCCTTTGTGTTAATCCCAGTGGTAATTCTGGGGCTCTTACAAATGTTTTACTGCTGCATTTGTTATCACTGTCTCATTAGCATGTTGTCTTGCAGCTGAAAGGGGCCTGAAAATGGTATGTCCTCATCTGATGGCCACAGGAAGGCATGGGAAAGCAGTGTAAGGGGAGCTAGGGTGGCATGTGGGATTTACCTTTTTTGGGTGGGTTTTTTTTTCCTTTGGATAAATAAATACATAACAGCAGTATGTTCTTGTTTTCTCTCCCTTTGTCTCTTATTTTTATCTTATTCTAACTTCTGCGATCTTGGATCCAGTGATTGGAAAATACAGTCAACTTCCAGACTCAGGTATGGTTTACAGACAAGCCTGCATCATGCAGGGAGCGCTTCCCTGGAGTGGGTAGATCCAAGAGACCAGGGTCAAAGCACCCAGAGCGCAGCTGCCACCGCAGCAGGGTGCAGGGGGAAAGCCCACTCCTACACAGTGCTTTGGTACCTCACTTGTGAGCAGGCCTGGTTTTTTATATGCAGTCTCTCAGTGTTGCATCCCCTGAACATAGTCTGACTCGCCTCCTCAGGTCAAGAGAGGGTGGAGGAGTTCCCCAAGGTTTATTTTTAGATATATGGCAAGGCTTTCTGAGAAAGTCTTCATCTAGAAGCAACATTCCCAGTTCAGTCTTTTCCAGACAGGTCTGAGATGCCAAAGTTCCTTCTGATAAGGGGACTTGGGCGCTTTAGAAAATACTTCCCCAGGCACCTTATCCCAGCCTGAAGTACTGCAATAGCAAAGCAGTGATGTGCTATGGGGGAACAGAATTTACCCTTCTGTATTTATTTAACAGACCCGTCTTTGCCCAGCTTTTCCAAGGTCTGTTCTGCTGAGTAGTCACAACTCCCTGGGGGGTCAGTTGTGCAGCCTCACCTGCTATGCAAGAGTTGCCAGGGAGCCTGAGAGACCCATAGTTTGCAAGGTGCAATGCTCACACTCTTATCTGCTGGCAGTATTTGCTCTGTCCCCCAGGCTTGGGGTGCATTGCACCAGGAGACGGTTTCCTTTAGCTTTGTTTAGATTTACTTGGTTTTTTTCCTGTGCTTGATAGACACTGTTTACTCCAGAAACCTTGCTGCCATCCAGCCATGAAGTGATAGCGCAAACCGCCTTTGCTGGATACAGTGCCCTGGGGGAGTGTCCCATCCTTGCCATCAGTTTTTCTCACCCAGCATTGTCAGACAAAGGCTGTCAAGCTGGGGGTTACAACAGACTTCGCAGGCTGATCAGGCGCTTAGCATGGAGATAGGAGCACTTCCATTTCTTTCTTCCCTTGTCCTGTGAGCCTCAGCAGTACCCAAGCCACCGAGCTGTACCAGATGTTTGGCAGTTTGATGAATGCTGCCTCCTCTTGTCTGTCAAACGTGGGAGGGAAGTGGCTGGTGCCTAAAAGACTGCCCAAAGATGTGTTTTTGTTTGGGTTTTACCTTTTGTGGTGGCTGGGCATAAATAATTTGGAGATTGCTGCTGGTTTTGGCAAGTCATTATGATTTTTTTCACCTATGTTTGTGTCTTGGGTGCTTGAGGAATGGATTTTATAAATACTGGTTTTAAATTAGTATTACAAAAGTGACTCAAATTCTTGTCTAGGGAGAATGAGTAACACAAACCTGCTTTCTTGTTTTCTTCTTTGGACGTTTGGCCTCATTCTTGCTTTTTATGAGCACACTTGTCTTGGCAGGTATGAGTGACAGCGTCAAAGACAAATTCTCTACCGCATTTTCCATCGTGGGTATGTTTTCTTCGCATGCTGTTGGAAGCCTCAGCGTGTTCTTCTGTGCTGAAATCACACCCACAGTAATCAGGTGAGACATTGGAGCCCCCCTCTTCAGAGGTTGGAGATGAAATTATCCTCATTTAATTGATAACTGGCTGTGTAACTTAATGCATTCTGTGGGAGGGGGAATACCCCATAACTGGAGACCTCGCAGCAATTTTGGGGTTGCTTTTTAATGTCACTGCAGTCAGCCTGCCGAAGTAAATGCCTGTCTCTAGACAGGCTTTGTTTCCGATGGCTCCACCTTGTGTCCCATCGTGGTGATTATCATTAGGCTGGCCACAGTATGAATTGCGTTTGTTAAATCACAGAATCATAGAACGGTTTGGGTTGGAAGGAACCTTAAAGCTCATCCAGTTCCAACCCCTTGCCACGGGCAGTGACACTTTCCACTAGACCAGGTTGCTCAAAGCCACATCCAACCTGGCCTAGAACACTGCCAGGATGGGGCAGCCACAGCTTCTCTGGGCACCCTGTTCCTGTGTCTCGCCACCCTCATAGCAAAGAACTGCTTCCTTGTATCTAATCTAAATCTACCCTCTTCCCTCTTGTCCTGTCGCTACGTGGCCTTGTAAAAAGTCCCTCTTGAGATTTCTTGTAGGTCCCTTTAGGTACTGGAAGGCTGCTATAAGGTCTCCCCTGAGCTTCCTCAGCCACAGCTTCTCTGGGCACCCTGTTCCTGTGTCTCGCCACCCTCATAGCAAAGAACTGCTTCCTTGTATCTAATCTAAATCTACCCTCTTCCCTCTTGTCCTGTCGCTACGTGGCCTTGTAAAAAGTCCCTCTTGAGATTTCTTGTAGGTCCCTTTAGGTACTGGAAGGCTGCTATAAGGTCTCCCCTGAGCTTCCTCTTCCCCAGGCTGAAAAAGCCCAGCTCCTTCAGCCTGTCTTCATAGGAAAGGTGCTCCAGCCCTCTGATCATCTTCATGGCCCTCCTCTGGGTCCGCTAGCTGGATTTGTACAAGCAGCAATCATGTGAGCCTACAGCTTGATATTAAAAGATAAATTCCAGGAGTGCAGAGAAGGACATAAGTGCAGGCAGTCCCTGCCTCCACAGGGCAGGTAAATCAAGCCAGCTATTGGGGTGGAAAGGAGATGTTGCAACATGCAGTGTTAAATGCTTTTGGTGTGTAAAGGTGTTCTGCGTGTCTGCCTCTCCTACAGCACTCACCAGTGTGAGTGATCTGTCTTTATTGCAGATAAAGTCATCTTTCTCTTTGCACCCAGATCTATCTTAGCAGAGACTCAAAGTTTTTCTGAAGGGAAAAACTTTTCATCCTGGGCAATAGTAGAAATCAGGCAGATGATCTTCACTGGAGAATTTCCCATAGGATATCTTTGTATAGTCAGAGTTTTAAACCATTTTATGTATTCACTGCTGTCTTTCACAGCACAGAGGTTGTGCTTTGTGTTCTGGATTATGCATTCAGCAATGTCACAGCAATTCAGGAGTCTGCCCTGACTCCATTGAATTTCTTAGGAATGTAGGTCGTACGGGTGGGAGGGAGAAAGGGTGGAAGGAAGAGGATACCCTTTTTCATTCTCCAAATTATATGCCTTTTCAATAACTTTGCAAAAGTATTACAGCAAAAAAAAAAGTATTACAGCTGAGTAGCCAGAGTCCTTGATCCATGGCCTTTTCTTCCAGGCTACCTACTTCGTGAATGTGTTTTAGAGATAAGGGTATTTCCACAGGGAAAGGCAGTGAGTGGTGAGATTATACAGCAGCCCAAAACACTAACAGCTATTTACTTGTGTGCATGTCAGTCAGTTTGGTGGTTTTATGCCTCTTTAATTTTCTCCTTGTCTCTGTTTGAAAAACACATAGATAAGGAATTGGCCATGTCAACCAGAAGAGAGCCTGTCAACGAGGGTGAGATGTGCAGTATGAACTTAGCAAGCTTTTTTCCTTAAATCACTTACATTGCTGCAGGGAAAGGGACAAAATTCTGGCTGGGAGACAAAATTCTGCTTCCCCTGCCTTTGCTGGGTGACACCAGATGAGTGACAATAGCTTGATATGCCTCAGGGTCCCCTTTTATTAACAGGGATGATAACACTCTATAGTGCTTTGTAGTCCTACCACTGTGAAGCTCTTGATAAGATCCACTCAGGGCTGTAATTAAGACGTGGAGATCAGGATGGTGCATAAACCTGTCTCAGGCAGAGTTGTGCTTAAGCTGCCTTGTGTCTTGCATCTTGGTGGGATCTGGCTGCTCCCTTATAACGTGTTCTCCTGATACTTCTTCTGATGCTCTTTAGTATTCAGACCATCTTAATATGCTTCTTGTTGAATCTCGAGGAACCTTAAGGAAAAAGGAGGCAGAGAGAGCACTAGGGCCATCTCTGGAGTTTCCCTGATCAAATCCTTTAGCTGTTATGCCCCATCCTTGAGGGAGTAAAACAGCACTGCCATTATCAGGGTAGCAGTGGCATGATAGTGAAGCTGTAGTGTCCCTCCAGCTCTACTGCTGTGGTGCTGAGATGAAGTTACAGCAGTGCAGAAGGAAAACAGCCATCTTCATCACCAAGAGGTTCTGCCTGCTCCAGAGACACAAAAGTCACATGGCACTGGGGGGTCCATCATACCCTTGCCCTGCATACACCCCAGTCTCCTGGCACTAGGTAGGAGGGTTTCACCAACCATACCAGGGGCTTCAGTACAGAGCTCCTGCCAAATACTGAATTTAAGCACGAAGTGGCACCAATAATTTATCTCTAATAACCTTGAAGGGAACACTGCAGTCTACATGGCTACCAAATGGAAATAGGCTGGAGAAGGCATGGTGTGTTCTCTCCCCATCCTCTGCATGCTCAGTTACTACCAAGTGGAAGAGAGATCTGGGGTTTTTTCTCTCTGTGTCCTACTTTTGTGCCCACCCATCCGAAGAAATGAAGAGTGGGCAATGATGGCCATCAATAGCTGTCTCAAGCTAAATTTCCAGTGCTGTTTACTGGGAACTGACCCAGGCCTGGCTTTTCAAAGGTGGTGCCTTGCCCCATGAGGCCAAGGGCATCTTGGTGTGTTGCTGAAGCTTTGGCACAATAGGGTCACTTATGTATGGGACTAGGGGTTGCTTATGTACAGGAAAGGCAGGGAAAAACTGTGGAGGCTTTCAGGGACTGACTTCAAGAAGTAGCTGGGCTGACTGAATGAAGCCCTAAAAACCTGGTCTGAGTTCAGTGTTCAGACCATTGTCCCTTTGCAATTTGCCCATGTCCGAACCATAAACCTCATGCAAACCATCCTGGCCTGCTGTCGCTGGGCAAGCAGGGGTCAGGGATATGGCTCTGATCTCCAGTGGGGCCATGCCATGGGAAAGCCCCCCACAGCAGAAGCTGCTAGGCAGAGGTGCGAGGGGAGAAGCTGGGGCTTTCTGTTGGTGCCAGCAGCCCTTACACTCCCTGTCTTGGCTCTGCTCTGCATCTCTGAGTGGATTTGGAGTACAGACACTGGCCCCTGCCATGGGAGATCTCATACTGAGGAGCAGCAGTACCCCAAAATACTCTGGCTTTGGTTTCCACCTGCTTCCTCATGGCAGCTGCAAACCCAGGGTGAATTACGAGTGTGCTGCCTCTTTTTCCCTGTACCCATTTTCCTGACGTGCACATTTTTTATTGTTCCTGTGAACAACAAAAAATTCCTGACAGTATTTGCAGTTCTCTTTTTTTGTCTTTTTCCTTCCATGTTTGCAGTATAGTCAAACTTAAAAAAAAAAAAATCTGGGACTGATACCAACATGTATTTTCAAGCCTCCTTCTGCCAGGTTTTGATGGTGCTGGATAAAGTAATACCCACTCTAATTACTGACATCATGTGGAAAAACTTCTTTTTCCCCTCCTTTCCAAATCTGAAGCCACTTGACCGACAATGACAGAGCCGTCTTTGTTGCTGCTCTTTCCTGTTTCCTTTCAGTTTGCTTGGTGTCCTTCTCAGCAGCTTTTAAAACTCACCTCAGGTCCTTCTAGGGGGTTGAGATACAATTTAGCCGTAGCAAACACTGATGTAAATGAGCCGGGCTTTTGTTGCTCCAGAGCCAACTTGGGAGTGATTTGCCTTGCATTTGGGGCTGGTTGTGTCGATTACTCATGCGAGCGTGTTAATGAAGTTGCAGGGAGGCCAGTTGCACAATGGCTGCATTCAGCTGGGTTTCTAAATTGCCATCAGAAAGTTGGCAAGTTTTTACTGAGGGCTTTTGCAGTATTTGAGGAAATCACTGTTTTTTGTGAAGGATGCTCTGCCGAGTCCAGAGCATTAGAATGTACGTATGTGAATTTCTGATCTAGTCAGTGTTCCAAGAGCATCTTTGAAACCTGTGCTTGCTGCCCTTTAGATGTCAAGCAAGCAGCAGTGGATTTTGGAAAGGATTGGGTAAAGATTAGCTTTAACACGGTGTTTGGCTGAATGAATTTGACATTTGTATGCTATAGTGCTGTAGTTTCTAGTATGCTCAGTAGTAGATGAATTTATTTTTTTCAAAGTGCTTGATGTAAAGCAGTGCATTTGCCTTCTGTAGTTGTCTTCTGTAAGGTCTGGTTATCGTTAATAATTGCATCTCTGCCATTGGGCCAGGAAATGAAGCACCTGAGCCTGCCTGTTCACCAGAGGCTTTGGGAATAGATGCCATCTCCCAGGGGAGCTGCAGGAAGCGGGCTGCCCAGACAAGCTTGGTGAGGGAGTGGGGAGCACATGGTGCCAGCGATTAAGCTCATGGGGAGACACCTCCCTCTGCAGGCAGCAGGGTCTGTGGAAAATGAAGGATAAGCCACCTCTCTCAGAGATTTTGCCAAAGCAAGTCTCTTAAAGGTGATGCTCCGCTGGCCAGAGACCTCGGTTGTGCCAGAGCAGGAGGAGGGAATGGTCTGCTCCAGAGAAATGCCTGTGGTGCCATTTCTGTGCAGGTCACCCAGCAGAGAGAGGCCCTGGCAGCATGAGCCATGCCTCAAAACAAGGTGGGAGTGCACATGCACCTATTTATAATTTAAGCGTTTCACCTGTGCAAACCTTTTCATAGCCTTTCTGTGACACAAGAAGAGCAAGAAAGAGTAAAGTGAGGGGCATAGCTCAGCTTTGTACTGTGAGTTAAGAGGAAAAAAATCCCAAACTCATGTTCTCCTGTTCTGACCACCAGCTTTTTTTCTCCTGAAAATTATGCATTTTATTACAACATCAGTGTTGAGAGGTTCCAGCCACAACGTGCTTTTATTTAGAAACGTTTTCATTTAGAAAACATTTCAGCACTCAGTGTCTGGTATAATGGATCAAGGCAGTGGCCTGTAAAGACTAATCTCCTGTCTCCACTGCTGATTGATGCCAGATACTTCAGAGGCAGCTAAAATTGACTTTTGCACCTACTGCTTCTTGGTGTGTCTTGTCTAAGCTGGAGAAGGCTGGCATGCTAAGAAAAATCTGGTTTTCCCTCACTGAATATGGAAATACTTAGAAATGGGAATGCTTTAGAGGACTGGCTACACACTCACACGGTAAAGCTCCTATTCTCCTTATGTGGGGGCAGTTATATGGGTGTGAAAAGATAGTTAAGTGATTATAGTTATTTTGCCACACTAAGGCAAAAAGGCAGCAGTGATCTACAACAGCAAAGCAACTCCCTACTGGAGTAACTGTGCCATGTGAAAGCTGTGAGCAAACCAGGCTTGCCTTTGAGATTTCAGATGCGCAGGTGCATGCCAGACCCCAGGGGTTGTTCCGGGGAATCCCTCCCCAGTGCCAATGGGGCTGCTCTGGCAGCAGCGGGCTGTGGGGCTGGGCTCTCACCTCTGCTGTGTTTGCAGGGGAGGCGGGCTGGGGCTGGTCCTGGCCAGTGCGGGCTTCGGCCGCCTGACTGCCCCCATCATGGAGCTCCACAACCAGAAAGGCTACTTCCTCCACCACGTCATCTTCGCCTGCTGTACGCTCATCTGCATCATCTGCATCCTTCTGCTGCCGGAGAGCAAGAACCAGAACCTGCCTGAGAACATCCCGGATGGGGAACATTACACCCGGCAGCCACTTCTGCCGCACAAGAAGGGGGAGCAGCCCCTGCTCCTGACAAACTCTGAACTCAAGGATTACTCTGGCCTCCACGACTCAGCAGCTGTGAGCGACGGGATCTCGGAGAACACCACTGCCAACGGGATGAAGTCAATGTAACCGGGTGGATTTTTTTCCTCTTCTTTTTTTTGGTTGGGTGTTTTGTTTGTTGCTTTTTCTTCTCTTTCTTTTGTATTTTATTTGATGCTGTTGTGCAGGAGGAGCGGCACTTTGGGCAAAGGTGTTTTGCACAGATTTTACAAAACAGTAGGGGAGCAGACACAGACTTGGGGGAAATTCAACTCTGCTGCTAAAGCAACTTTTGGCATCTTCAACTGTTGTGCAGATTGCTCTTGAAAAAATCATGGGGGAAAAAGACTCATCTGAGAAGAGACCTGGCTGGAAGTAGCCCTTCAGAACTCTTATTTTCCTGCCATTAAATATATGTATTTATTTTGATTTATTCTCAAGAAGCACTTTATTTCCTTTTCCTTTCATAGATCACAAAAATGAAGCCATCTTATAATAAGAGGTGCAGCCATTCCAAGAAAGAAACCATGGGGGGTGGGGTCGGGTGTTTTCTGTTTTGGTTTTGTGTTTCTTTAAAGGAAAGAGGGATCCACTGCAAAGTTGAATAGACTGAAATTTAGACTTGTGCAACATTCTTCTGCCTGTCTAGAAAGTCCAAGTGCCCAGGTTGCCTGCTGTGTTTGTATACACCAAAAAGAAAATAAGACACACAAAAAAAAGCAAAACCTGTTGTGACTCAACACTCTGACTGCATTTTAGGCAGCTTACGTTTGTTTTTATAGCCCATGTGCACTTACAGGTTATTTTCTAAATTAGTACCTTTTTTTTTTTTTTTCCCTCCCCCACCAAATGCAGTGGGGAAAAAAAATCCTACCCAACCAAGCTGATTTTTCAATAAGAATCAGCCTTTCTGCATCTTAAGAGCCCATTAATCTATTTTAGATGGTTCCCACTGGTCTTTAATAGTAATGTAGATGATGTAAATGATTTGACCAGTGATGCAAAAATTAGTTTTGTTGAGAATAGCTTTAATTACCAGGAGGCCCAGAATCTCTGATTGACTGCTCCAGGAGAAGAACATAGACCACCAGGGACAAAAAGTGAGGAGCATGGGCTATGACCTGTATCTTTATTCCAAAAGGCAACGCAGCGGGGATTCCTGCTCCTGCGAAATGAATGTCCCGGCATTGCCTTACCTGTTTTCACAACCAGGGTTTGGGTTTTCAATGTAAGTGGACAAAACGCTGTAAGTGACTATTGGAAAAGAATGAATGGATAGCCTGTGAATAATGATTTCTGGTCTGCTGTTGGTTGTCTTGGGGCTTTTAGAGTTGTTTCTGGTTCTGACCCAAGAACATACAGTGAACTCGCCCAGATTTCCCGCCTTCCCCAGCTGCTCTTGTAGGATTTTTGATTCAGGCAAAAGAAGAGTTTGCTTACATCGGATCAATCCTACTCTAGGCTGAGCAGAGTCAACACCCAGTTTGTCTCCTGCTGTGCGGATGGCACTTTGATAGTAGCCCCTTGACTTCTCCAGCCCCCAAACCACCTATTTCCTTTGGCTTTTGGTTCTCACTGTGTGACTACTGTGAGGATCTAGTTCAATGCAAGGACTTTGTAAGCAAGCAGCTTTCTTGCATTGTAGTTAACCTCCCTGCTCTCCCTCCCTTTCCTCCTTTCTCACTCAGGCCATCCATTTGTGATTGCTCGGTAGTGCAGGTGTTCAGACAAACAGAGCAGCAGGATGTCGATGTTGTATTGAGTGTCCATATGATTGCCACTTTGTTTGATGTACATCTTGCGTTCATACACATGGAAAGTGCTTATTTGCGCTTTCCTTCTCTACCTTCCCTTCCCTTTCCTCCTTTGCTGTATATATTGTTGATTAACTACTGTACCTAACAATTTCCATCCTCCATTAGGCTGCCAATGTCCTCTTACAGTCCCAAATAAATCAGAGACACGTGCTCCTGGCGGGCAATGTATGTGAGTAGCGCAGCCTCAGATGCTGACGAGTGCAAGGGGACAGGTAGACCTGCAGAAGCGAGAGATTGTTGTGTTCAGAGTAAAAATGTTGTCCTAAAGCTGCTAATTTTTGTACAGAGGATGTGTGGACATTCAGGTTCTTCTTGAGCCTGGTAAAAAAACACTGGACCAGTTGATGGTAGTTCTGCCCAAAGTTACACTACTGGGGTTTTTTTGTTTTCTACCTTTGCTAGACTTGCTGTAACAGCGAGAGCCTGATCTTCCTTACACTCAAGTTTTATTGTTGAGCTTGAGTGTGGCTGCTTCTCTCTTTTTTCCTGCGCTGAGACTTCTGCAGCCTGCGTTCACCTAAGGAAAAAACCCAGGCCTTCTCCATTCATACAGTATTCATGTGCCAAATTTGTGCAATACCTTTTGCCTTCGATGCGAGATGCTTACAGCAAGCCACACATATTGGGGACAGGGTGGGGAGGGAGTGGGTTCACAACAAAAAATTGAAGAAGCTAACAAGTCTTAAGGGAATCAAAAAAGGGCCTTAAAGCAAGAAGGTGCAAGCACAGAGGCAGAGAGCAGCGTCCTGCCATCCATCGTGCCATGGAGCCAGCAGCTCCTTCCTTCGTGGTCTCTGTGCCTGTGTGCTCAAGTACGGCTCTTGTAGACCATCCGCAAGGCTATAAATCCAACTGCTTCCAGCATTGTCAGCGGTCCTGGTGTGCTCACCACTGTTGTCCACAGCACTTTATCGTTTCCTATTCTGGTGGTTGCTCTCTGGTGACAGACAGGCCCAGGGAAGAGAAAAGTTGTTTGAACATATCAACATTTATATAGTAAACAAACTAGGTGACAGGAACATGCAGCAGTTTTTGGGTTTTTTTTTTTTTTAAATCTTATGAAATTTACTTTATTTGTTGCTTTTGGGTTTGGGTTTTTTTGCCTGAAACCAGGTAGTTGGTACTGATCTTCTGCAACATGGGGACCCCCAACTTGTCAAGTTGGTCTGGCCCTCTGTCATGACAATAAAACATCAACTAATTTCCTACCTTGGCAGCTCTAGTTTTGCTCCTTTTCCTGAAAAGACAGGAAACACTTCTGTGATGATGATTTTCTTTCCACACATGCTCACAGCATTGGAAAGCTTTTGCTAAGCATACCTTGCGTGGAGGAGTCAGACAGCAGGTGATGCAGCAGGGCAGAAAAGAGAGGTGGAGATACTTACCCTGCTCTGCCTCATCCCACAGCAGGCCAGGGCTCTCTGCTAGGGTCCCAGTCCCCTGCACCACCAGCCACGTCTTCTCCACAACCATCACCAGGAAAGGCTTTTCTGAGGTGGCTCTTTTCAGCCACCACAATAGGGGAAGCAGTCAAAGCTGCCCTGTCCCTTTGGGCCTTTTTTCTGTGAACCTTCAGTAACCTCTAAGCCCATCAGTGGATTTTTCTTTGGGTTTACCATGTAAGGGCTTCCTTCCATTTTTGTAAGCCTAAACAAAAATGTGAAAGTGACATTATGCTTGATCCTGGGGGGTTTGTCCCCCTTTAAGGTTTCAGTACTGCCTTTGTTGCCAGACACGCTGCAAATGGATACGGACAGTCACCTGCTTGCAAGTGTTTTGTGGCCACTCAGAAAGGGGGTTGTGGGATTTACTTTATGGTTTTGTTAAGCAGGCTTTTTTAAATTTTGTTTTATTTTTTAATGGAAGTATTTTACTTAACTGTTGCCACTTCCTGGAGCCAAACACTGAAGGTCACCAAATTGGAAGCAGAAGTGCCATTAACTGAACTCTGTGAACGTCAAGTTGCACCTGTAGCTGGCACATAAGACAACACTATTAAGCGGGGGGGGGGGATGATCTCCCCTGCTGTAACTTTTCCTTTTTTTCTTTTTTCTTTTTTTTCTATTTTTTTTAAGAGAAATGAAATTACAAACCTCATTTTAAATGTATTGTGTAAAATGTTTTGGGAAAGGAGTATGGTGTGTTATGTCTAGTGGGTGAGACCTCCCTCCCCATTTCAGTTTCTGATGAAGTTTTAAAGAAACGTGTTACTGTGTGTTTTGATCATGAATAGTCTGGTGGTGCTTCCTCATAGCACAAGCTTAAATCAAGTACTGAAAACAGTCTTACAAGCTAAATGTCTGCATGATGTTACATCTGTTGTACCTACTGAGAAGAACTTTGTATGTAAATGTACAGAATAAAATGACGTTGTCCCATCAATTTGCTCCCTCGCAGTGACTTCTGAACCAGCCTGGCAGCAGCTATAATGTCAGTGACACCTCAGGGAACAGTCCTACCCTCCTCTACAAACAGAAGGAGCTGATTGTAAATCAGGTTAATTAAGTCAGCACGTTGATTTGCAACTAATTATTCTTTATAGTCAATCACAGATGGTTGACTAATGACAGATAGGTGACTGTTTCCTGGGTGGTGTGAATTAAAAAAGAAAATACTCCTCCCATAGTTGCTTTTTGCTATTCTGATCTTGAAGTGCAGCCAAGGACCGGTGGCTGTTCCCACAGGTAAGGAAGGGCTGCCTGTGCCCACATCAGATCTGCAATGTTGAAGCCACTGGGTATTCAAACCCCCTTGGACAAGAGACTCATCACGGGTTGTGCCTTCTACATGAGCAACCTCTCTGTTGCGGTTTTAATTGCTGAGTATGGTGCCACAGCAAGGTAAGTTTACCAGTTTTCTGTAGGTTTTTAGGGCAGTTGTCTAACAGCAGCACCAGTAGGTTTTATTCATATCAGAAGCTTATGTCTGAGTCAGGGCTCAACTTGCAATGAAAAAGAAATAACCTGGACTCGCTCATCAGGTTGCTACGCTCAGTGTTCCTTTAAATTGCCATGAATAATAGGTGGTGTGCCACAGCACAGCATGTATTGACTGACTCGTGCAAATGGGCACCACGTCATTTGCTCTATGGCTAGTTTGGGGTTTTTTTGGTATAGTTGACTTTTAGCTGCCTTTCTAATTTAAAATGGATCTGCCTTTGAAAGGATATCCATCCTACCTAAAAGCAAGTCCAGAGAAGTAGCGGCAGGGTGCTCTGTGGTGGTAACTTTGACTTTCTAACAAGTGTGCTCACTTTACACCCATGATGCTCCCATAGTAGCCTTGACAGATCTATCTGTTGCTCCAAAATTCAAGCTGTGCTTTTTCCTTCTACATAGTTGTCCTTTGTGAAACCCTTCTGTGTTCTTAGTGCCCAAGAAATTGAAGGAAATCCAGTGTTCAGCACCAGTACTACAACCAACAGGGGCTAAAAGGAGCAAAGCAACATTCATTTCATGAGCTTTACAATACAAAAATGTATTTTCTTTTTATTTGCTGTGTTCAATACTAGTACATAACAGATTAATTGTACAGCTAGAATTTGGAAGTGATTTCCCAGCATATCTGAGTACTGAATGGAGACCAGGCACTGCATGTGCATTTTTACAGTGAAGTTCATCCATTGCAGCATATTTTCTACTCTACTCACCTATTCCCTACTTAACATGGTAGCAAATTTAAAAAAATAATAATAAATTCCAGGTTCCAACTGTATTTAGGTCCATCTGTGTTTAATAACAACTTCAATCAAAACAATATAAAACAAATAGACTAACTTAATGTCAGTGTGAAAATTGCAACTGGTTTTTCTAAAACAAAAACTTCAGGTTATTTTACAATGAAGCCAAGTCAGAACTTCTCTGGAAAAGC